TATTTCGGATATTACAATTACTGTTGCGGCGGTGGCAGCTATTTACGTTTTCCAGCGTATGGTTATGGCCCATATGAATAAGACTGACAACTCAGTTCTAACGATCTGCTCAAGACTGCTGACGTTTCTGTATCAGATAGTAAAATACTACTTAAAAACTTCAGTTTAAGTAGTTTAGTTTCAATTTAAAATATATACTTGTGAAACGAAGACGTTTGATCGTGCTGAAAACATTCATCTACATATTTCATTCGTCTGAATCACTGCTGACTGTTACTGAGCATTTTATACTTCTGATTTTTCAGAAGAAAAGCTACCGATTAATCAGTTTTCAACTTTCACTTTTTTCTTTCAATTACGATTTCACCTTTTGACAAACGACTTGACAACTGTGAAAGCAGTGTATGAAATTATATACATTGCCAAAAGGAAGTAAAATGTAAAATGGTGACACTAAGGGATATACGCATTTATTATTAATTATACAACAGCATTTAGTTAAATAGTAGTGAACAGTTTTGCGTGGTCACACTGATCTTAACAGCAGTAAAAATGCAGTGATATACAAATCGGTGTTCAATTCGATTATAGAGAGAAAATTTTTATCAAAGACATTTAAGGACTGCAAAAAAAAAGAAGAGTCAGTGGTAATACAGCGTGTGAGGGATGAAACAACAATAAACTGGGCCACCAGTATTATCTGCTAAATTTCGCCCTATTGCTCATTCTGTTTGGAAATCCAGAAACAAAAGAAGGCTCAAGCTGTTGCTAAAGTAGACATGTTTAAACTTCTCTGGTTGTGTTGCTTATTTCTTGTGCTCTACTGGAAACGGTTTTGACATAGACAGTTTATCAAACAGGCTTTTTGAAAATACTTCAGTAGTTTTCCTTTTCTGTTCAGTATTTAGCACCGTTTTATTGAAACAGAAAATAATTCATTAACTTCTCTGTGCGACATCTAAGTACACTGTTAGAAATTTTTCTGTCGTAATTGTTCTATTTTGCCATTTTAAGCACCAATTCATGCTCTCAGTACCATGCTGAGATATTAAACAGAACATATTTAAGTTTGAAGTAAGATTTTTCAAATAAAACCTTCAATCTTTAAAAAAGAGGATTTTAATACAAAAATTCCTTCATCAGACTAGCATCTTAAACTCTCTATTAATTTATCTTGATTGAGTTGGTGATCATTTATTTGGTAATACATGAAAACAGAAGTTTAACGACACCAACTTGTCTTCTACAAGTCTTCTACAAGTTCTCCAAAACTGCTGCTTCTATAACCTTTTTCTGCACGCTTTTTTTGAGAACAAGAAATTTAGAAAGAAGCAGAAAGAGGAAAGCAGATGTCACGAAAGAAAGCGTCTTTTTACCTAAAGGAATAAATTAAAATAAGAGATACTTTTCTGCTGAGCTAAAATAGATGTAACACAGTAAAAAAAATAGATTCTTAATATTTTGCTGCCTTAAAACAAACGGCTCTCGCTAATCATTAGACTGCAAATGCCAGCAAAACTGCAGAAAATTTGAATTCTAAAATTTTTCTTTTAATATTGAAGTATATTAAGAGTGAAATTTTAAATTTTTATTCAAAGATTATTGTAATAAATTTTTGCAAGCACAGTGATTTATTCAAAATCAGTTTCAAGGATTTCTGTACCTACTGTTAAGAAATGTCATTATTTTCAACTTAAGATTAGTTTTCTGTAGATTTTTACGCGCTTAACAAACTCTGAGATCTTTTCAAATAGTTGAGATAATCAAACAATAATACTGTTGCATCATGGCAAAAAATTTTGGATAACAGTGAATTTGACTTAATATTACGCAAGTAATTTTTCCTTTTCTCAACAGTCACAGGTCGGTTTTGCCGAGCCTAAATTCAATTAATTTCTGAAAGTCTTTTCCGCTCGGCTTCAACGTTAAATAGTATTGAATCACAGTGAAGTCTATAAAAAACTAAGAAAAATTTTCAACTGCTTCATCTAACTATTATTTTAAGCTTAAATATTGTTTATAACAAAGAACCCTGGTTTAATTTATTTAACAATGCAAAACGAACGTTGCTATTTAAAAACGTTCAATAAGCATCCGAACAGCACACAAATTGTACTAGCAATAAATTCAGGCGTTTCTGGAATGCAAAACTAAATTCCAGGTTGTCATTCCTTATAAAATTGCAAAAACCTATTTGATCAAATTTATTATTAGTTTTTGTCAACTTCACCTTTACCAAAACGTTATATTTCCGACTTCCTGCACAGAAAAAAGCTTCAAAAGTGACAAAAATTGTTCAATTTCAAAAAATACAAAGAAAAAAATCAAAAAAACTTTCAAATAAATTTTTGAAACCTCTTTTCTACACATTTTTCGTGTAAATCTGCCTTCTTTTTTGGCTTGCTTAATTTATGGTTTATCGTAATGATAAAAACTTTCTGAATAGTAAAGTATCAATATTGCTTGGAAATTCTTCAGAAAGTTCAGACAACTAGAAATTACATGTTTTTACACCAAAGCAGGAAGGAAGTAATCTTCTTCCAAAAATATAATAAATTGCTTCTGCAAGTTGAAAAATTTTTTGGTCAATAAAAAACAAGTATTTCTTTAACAGTTCTCTGTTTTTTTTTTTTCGCTTTTTAATTCTTCTTCTTTCTTTTTTGCCTTATTAATTCTGAGAGGCAGCTTCCGCGGTAAAATGTTGAACAGCAGCAATAACAGGGCGAAAATGAGGTAAGAAGAGACGGTAAAAAACTGTAGTAAAAGTCGTCATCTGCAACAGTTAAAGAAAAGTTACCGAGCTATAGTCAGTTACAATGAGTTTTTTTTGATGAAAATATAGATGATAAAAATTACTGCTTTTGTTGACTTTAACCTAATGTTTCAAGATGTTGTTTTCTAATAAAGGCCAGTATCACAGCAATTGTTCATCTTGGTAATTTCCTTTTTTTTTTTTCTGCTCTGCTCAGACTTTTATGCAATCTTGTATTTCTGCTAAGAATAAGACGTCTTAAACTTATTCAAAGTTTTTTTTCTCAATCATGCTACACCTTTTCTCACTGATTGTACTATAGCTTCTATAAGACAAAATTTGAAACGCTGCCACTTCCTTAAGCAGGTTTATTAGAAACTCCATGCGTTTGTATCGACTTTTTCACTTGCTACAATTCGCATTGGTCGATTTCTGTTTGTCAATCTTTCTGTTTCGAGCAACTACTCTGTTTGTCAACGAAGAAATAGAAGAGTTTTTGTTGTAAAAAGATAAACATTTTTGAAAATTATCTGCAAAAAATAATTCAGTTGAAGAAAGAGTAAAGAATTGCACTTTCGGTTTACGATATTCTTAATTTTTACAGCTAAAAGTAAAACAAAATTATAAATTTTTTAAAAGAATAGTCAACGTAGAAAAGCAGATATTTTATTGAAATCTTCTTTTTTTCAGTTGTCAAACAAATAATTTCCTGTCAAATATTGCTTAGGAAAATTTTTTTACAGCGATAAATTTTTCTTTAAAGTTACTCTGTAGCTTCTGTATATGCATTAATAACTATTGAAGAGTGGCTGTCGAAATTGCATAATATCAACAAATGCTTTAGCAAATACTGTTCTATATGGGACTAAAGTTTGTTAAACTGCTAAAGAAAGTTAGAGGTTTGCTTAAGACTACTCAAGATTAGAAACTTACTATTTTTGTACAAATAAAAAAATTCTAGTGCGATTTCTGTGCTATTTAGAAATTTTGAGTGGCCTAAGTGCCGAAAACTGTATCTGTTCGCTTATAAACAGATGCCAATCAGAAACTATAGTGAAAAGTTTTTGTTAGTTAAGAGAGGTGTTAGAAAATTAATAATAACCTGTCAAGATTGTTTCGGTGAGAGACAACAGCAGATGAAAAGTCGAACAAGAATGCTATATCTTATTTAACAGTATCTGTCAGTTAGAATAAGCAAAAAATTATCTGCGTTATAAACTACACTTTTTTTTTTAATTACGCAGTTATCCTACAGTTTAAAATCTTTTTTTTATTGTCAAGTTTTTCGTTAGTTGCCTTCCTTAAACCAAAGTTTGAATTTCAGGTCAAAGCAACAGCACATTTCAAAAAGCAACAATTTATCTGGTATTTTCTTCGGTTTTTCAATGTTTTTCTACAAATTTTATTTCAGCCATACTTTGCTGGTAAGATTTTGTTTATAATTTCCTTGATAATCGTCACACTGGTCGTATGATTATTATCAGTCAAATATGACCGAGGTGTGCTCTTTATTTCAAAAGCTGACCCATGATTATTTGCACTTTTATATACAATGATCATTAAGTTTAATTGAGTGAAACAAACAAGAAGGAAAAATTTAGATTATTTTTACAATTAATTTGTAAATTGTAGATCAATTTTCTGTTTTTGTACTTTTTTAAAGACTATTCAAAAGTTTTTATGTAACTATGTTTGCAAAAATAATGCTATGGCTTATTTCGGTGACAGTTTTTTAAAGCAACCCATCGCCAAATTTTTTTGGCATCACTCTGCGTCTTTTAGTCTAGAAGAAAAAAAAGTTCCGATCTTAAGTGGTAAATTTTATAATTTGTTCTATGCAGATTATTTTGTAAGTAAATGAGACGACGATACAACTGCAGGTTTTACTATAAATTTTATTGTTGAACACTTGAAATTTTAATCGAGTTCTGTTTTCTTGAATGCAACAATGTTTATATCTTCTGTTGAAACCAGTAAGGTTTTTATGCATTTATTATCACTATTACCAGATGTCATCTCTTTCCCAAGAAATTGCAATATTCTTCAGGAAAATCACAATATGAGTTGAACAGCACGAAAAAAAAAACAGGTATAGATTTACCGTTCACACTGAAGCTATATTATAAGCGCTCTGACAGGAATACGGTTACAATAGAAGTCTTAAAAAAAATAATTATTTTGCTTAACTCAGTTCTACCCTTTTTTTGCAAACCCTCCCCTAACGTTATTCAGGCACAAGTTTACAAGTTTAGCAGAGATGGAGCTGCTTGCAGACGGTTTGTGCGTCCTCGTTCTTAAGAAGCCAGTTGACAATTGATTCGAGCTCGTTGTCAATAAGTCCACGGCAAATTGTGTCTAAGGCCGGTTCTTTCTTGCAAAGGGTGTCGCACAAGGTGTTTGCCAACTAAAATCACCTTCTTTATTGGATGCTTTTTACTTATGCGGTTTCTGTTGTAGCTTAGTACTATATAAAAGATTTTTGATTTTTAATGCTTCAACTGTACTGTTTACCGGCAACAATTAGTGCAAACAAAAATGCTTACTGTAGAAGTATAGGATAACAAAACTATGTCGAAACTTACGGCCTCAAGGTCTTTCTCTTCTGAAGCGATTCCTAGTTCAATGCCGCCGACGAAGCTGTTGCAGAATGTGCAAAGCTTGGCACCCTTGCTACGGAACATCTTGCTGGGGACCCGTGCGCTGGCGAAGACAACAATTGCTAGAAGGAGGAGTAAAGTACGCATGTTCTGAAAAGAAAAAAGGATTTTTCATTTCTTTATCAAATTGCTATTAGCAAATTCATCGTCGTTAATTTCCGGCAGCACAACTAATCCGGCTAATTGGAATTGCTGATGGTTAATCTTGGACAGTTCTAGCATGTTTTTCTCAGCTGTCATGTCAGCGGAGTATTAGACAATTCAAGCTGAACTTAAATAGTTCAAAAATCAAAAGACTTTAAGCTCAATTTTTTTTCCAATACATTGTTTTTTGACCACAAGAAAAAGCATTAAATAGAATTTGAGTTGATTTTGAAAGACCATTTTAGGTACTGCACCGCAGTTTTTGAGAGCAAAACTGCTACACTGGGTGTCAGTGAGTGTAGAACAGCAGCTTAAAAGTTAAGCATAAATGAAAAAAGGCAAGCAGAATTTGATAATGTTGGGTTGAACAATACTTTTATATGGATAATTCAACTGTTGATTCAACTGAACTAAAAATAGGCTGTCTCTGTTCCTTCAGTAGTCTATGCTGCTCTTCAGATATACTGACAACTCATAAAATTAAAAAAAAAATAGTTCCGTAATTGATGCTCATGGAAGCGTATTTGCTTATTCATTTTTAATGAAGAATAAAATCAAAAGAATGTAGTTTGTTTGCAGAATACAAGTGGTAAAAGCATCTATTTAAAAGAGTACAAAATAGTTTTTTCTAAATTTGATTTTTTTAACTTGTGTTTTTTATATACTTACAATAGCTGCTCTTCTGATAGTTAGATAAATTAATCTTTGCTGTTATTTGCCTCTATTTCACGCTGAAACTATTAAACTTTTCCAAAGAAAAAAGTTGTTTCGTGTTTTCTAAGTCTAAACTTTGTTCTTTTAGATAACTGTACAGCGATACAGTTGCATCATTTGCTTTATTTCTATTTGATCTACAAACTGCAATACTATTGTTTATCAAAGAACAAGGCAAACCAATTTCAACATGCATAATGAAATTACTTTACTCAAGGAAAAGATCAATAAACATTTGACTGTGTTTGCAATTTACTTTGATACAATATCGTACTGTGCATCCGTAAATATGGTTAATTATAGTTTTCAACCACTAGAAAAAATTGACTGTATAAATGACCTTTAAAAATTGATTAACTAAAATAAATGTAATCGTAAACTGTTGACGGTATTGTTTTAAAAAAGAACTGTCTTTTGAAACATCAAAAAAATTTCCAATTTTATATGAGTAATCTAGTTAAACTGTTTTTTTTGGTAATTGTAAATGATAATAAACACTAATAAATTACTGATACGAAAAAATGCAACCGACAGAAACATCTGTAACGATGCACTATGTGCTTAAAAGAAAGACTTTAACTTCAATAATTTTTGTATTGTTTTTGTGTACCAGAAGTCAAACATTGTATACTTTATAGCAGACTAGCTAAAATTTTGAACCATAACAGAGAACTTCGCTGCGAAATAGTCAGTGCAGATACTGTGGCTCCTTTTTGGTCTAAGTTATCGTTTTGTATCCTATAGCATTTCAAATCATAGACTTTTTTT